CCACAGAAAGAGCATTTCCCCCTCGCTTTGTTCTCTACTCACCTGCCCCGCCCAGGGGGAGATTTCCCCTCGGCTCTGCGCCCTGACGTCTCTGCCTTTCTGCAGGTGTCGCCGCCGTAGCCGCCAGCTGCCCCTACCTGTGTGAGGTGGAGCTGTGGAGGTGCCGCGCGGTGACGGACGAGGGGGTCCTCGCCGTGGCCCGCAACTGCAAGCTGCTGCAGGTCATCACCCTCAGTGGCTGCGTGGCAATCACCGACGCCGCCCTGCTGGCCCTGGGGCGGAACTGCAGGCTTCTGCACAGCATCAGCTTCGCTGCCACGCAGGTGAGGGCCTGGACAGTGACGCCGCTGTGTTGCCCCGGGAGGCTGAGGCAGGGCAGGTGGTCTCATACTGACCAGGTAGATCATTCTGCTCACAGAGCACTTTGCAGTGCTTCCCATCTGTAAGGGGTGCCTTGCTCCCGAAATCCTTTAGCTACACTAATATCAAAATCATGACTACATTCATGGGTGAAATATTGCCGTCCTTTAATTTCAGACTCTGTTTCTTTTGTTATCTTGTTTGTCAACGTATGCCAATCAGCTGTGACAAATTGTGACATAGCAAGTGTTTTCATATCAAACTGGTCATTGCTATACAGTTTAACACACTCTCTGACTTACTAGACACAGCTACCCATAAAAGATTTGGTACAGTTAAACATGATGCCGTCCTGTCAAAACGTCCTGTGAAAAGTCCCACAGGACAGCACAGCTCAGACTAGCGCTCCCTGGCTAACAGGTGGGAGGGATATTTCCAGGACGTCTGTGGTTTGTACACTGTGCCTCACAAGTTACAGCTCCAGACGGGCTAAGCAGGGAGTTCCCCTGTGCTGTGCTGTATGGGCACAAGGCAGGATGCACCCTGGACAGGGTGCCAGACCATCTCAGGGCACTGTATGACAACCGTGTGTGCCACCTTTCTGTTGGGGCACTGTTAAAGAACTGAGCCTTGTGCATTACTCTCGACAGGTGACAGACGATGGCGTTGTGGGGTTAGTGAATGGAGTTTGCTCTCAGACTTTGAAGGTAACTATTCCCATATCATGATTTTAAAACTATATCTGCCCTGTGGTAACGATTAAATTCTTATTATCTGTTCGACGACTGGAAGAAAGTTACACAAGTGCAGCACTAAGGAGTGTGGTCTGGCAAACTGAGCAGCCCTAAGTCAGTGGAGTTAAAGTAAGACTCAGTGTGGATAACCATAGGGTAAAGGCTTGGTTTTAGTTCTGTGTTACTTTGGTGTTTGCATTTACTATTTACTATTATTTTATTATCTTTTATATTATTTACTATTATTATGCATTTACTATTATTAAGAAGGGGAGGAGGGAGATGGATTTATAGCAAAATTAGGAAGCAGCTTTGTTTGGAACCTCAGGTACTGAGGCACAACCACCTGAACTGCTCTGTGTTTTTCCTGCCTCCTTCCAGTTTCCAATACAGTGGCTATCTTTTACTGAACATTTGGCAGTTTGCTAATGAACTGACTGTCAGAGTAGCCCCAGATATGAATCAGACCAGAGACAGCAGTGAGGTGAATCTCTTGCTCTATTACCGATGTGCACCACAGGAATCTCAAAGAATAGGAGCAAGCGCCTGGGTTGAATCCAGTGTGGGTAACTCTTCCTCTACCTCACTTTCTGCCCCTAGTTGGTTATCATTGACCCATCTCACCTACCCTCCCATCTACATCCCATAATACTTCTCCCATGGTCTTTCGCAGGAACTGACCTACAAATAAGAACGTTTCTATGGCAACTACGGGATGCGGTGCTGCTGACCCCAGGTGCCCTCTACTTGAGCCGTTGTGGCTTTTAATAAAACCAGCCTCTGCCTACAGTCCTCTGCCAGCCTTTGTCTACAGTGAAAGCACACCGCCTTATGAATCGTGATTTTTACATATTAAAACATATCTGACCTTCATCTAGTCTTCACCACGTCCTAACAGTAGATAAACGTAACCTCATGCGACAGATAACCAACACAAAAAGTTTACTGTGTCATTATCTATTAAAAACTGCCAATGTTCAGAAGCCCTGAGCGAAGAAGTGATTCAGTAACGTTGCCTAATCCACTTTAGCAGCAGTAACGCGAAATAAACGTTATCTGTAGGAGTTTATTTCCTGTTCGTTGTCTCCATGTTAGCATGACCATAGCTTCTTTCATTGCTCTGCCTGTGAAATGTGTTCCTTGATCAGCGTCTGTCTCGTGCGGTATTTCCCATCTTGGGAACAGCTTCCGAGCCAGAGATTTCACAGCAGTTTCTGCAGTAATGTTACGGCAAGGAAACACTTCCACCCATCTCGTAAAAAGATCAATCACCACGAACATGTAGGCGCTCCCCCTGCTCGGTGAAATGGACCTGTAAACCACACCTGCAGGTGTGTCCACGATCCCTGTAGCCCTGGCGCTTGGTTCAGAGGCACTCTGATGCGAGCTGCACTGCTATTTTAGAGATAAGTGGTGCATCTGAGTCCTAATTCCTGGATGTGTCTTTCCATGTGGGGTAACTCCACCATTTGTGTGGTCTGGTCTCTCATGATTTGTTGGTTCCTGGTATAATTGATGGAGCAATCTTCTCTCTGCTAAAGGCACCACTTCTTCCTTTCTCCACACTCCTTCCACATCACGCTGTGCTCCTTGTGCTTTCTTTTTCTGCTTCACTCTCTGTGTCGTAGGTAGCCTGGAGATCCTCGCTTTTGTATACACTCTCTCCCCGGTTTTGAGCACACAGAAATCTTTTCAGGAATGCGCCCTGTGATTGCATGCTTAGCTGCTGTGTTGGAGTTACAGCTTTCCTTAGAGTTTCCTTCTCGCTGCTCTTTTAATTTTGATCGCTGCTCCTTCTGGAGGTAACTGACCAGCTCGTATCAAGCCCTGAATCAACCCCGAGTGTCTCATTGATGGTCACAAACCATTTGCAGTGCCCAGAGCAGTGAAGACCTCCATATTCCCCCCCACCCACCGGCCAGTAAAAACAGCTCGGGCGTGCAGCTGTTCGTGTGATCAGTAGTTAATCTCCAGGATCCATCTGCTTTCTCTGCTGGCCATATAGAGGAAGTGGTAATGGAGCAGGTCCTTCTCACTGCTCCAGCTGCCTGTAGATCCTCGTTGATTTCTTCCACAGTGGCTACGGCTTCAGGATGTGTAGGGTGGATATTGAAGATGGGGCGCTGGGGCGCATTCCTCCGGGAATGACAGGGGATCAATGTTTGCTGTGCCACATTCCAGCCTGTGTCAAGCTCAGGCCTCAGGCACAGAGCTGCACACATAAAACCTCATGGACCTTCTGACGTCCAGTCTTTGTCGGTCGTTTCTCAGGGTTGGATTGTGAATCACGGGCTGGGCCATGACAGAATGCCAAGCCTTTAGGCCCGTCTGGGCCTCAGTTTCCTGCAGCACATCCGTGCCCAGGATGGTGCCCTCTCCATAACTGTATCGCTGACCCTCAAGCTGTAAAGGAACTGGTACAGTTTGAAAACTGTTTGTGACCTCCAGAAACACCTGCAGCTAGCTTCAGGTTAAGCCCTGATCCAGGCCTCTACTGTCAATATACTTCCAGAGTTATTAAAAAAACATTTAAGGGTTAAATTGCCTCTGGAGGTCTGTGCCACATGGGAGTACTAAAAGGTTAAGTTCTTTCACCTATATGTGAAACTTTAAACTTCATGTTCAAATTATATAGTAGTCACTTGTGTATACATTAATTGTAATTCATGAAAGTTTAATGTCATAGGAGGGGTTGAACTCTTACAAAACCCTGTACTTTACTGCGGATGAGAGTCTACTTCAGCCACCTGTTACTTAAAATGTATTTAGCTATTTATAACAATCTACAGTCTCCTCCTTTATATTATCCAATGATGCACAGCTTCTTTATTGAAAAATTGTCTGTGTCTGCATCTTAGTGTTCTCAGATGTCACCAAGACATGTTTTTAATAAACCCGTTAGGCATAAGCAGCTTCTCTTTTTTAGGAAACAGGTTATCAGTGCGCTGGTAACAATTTTGTTATGTAAAAGATAAAGTACAGGTTAACAGTGCTCTGATTACAATTGTTATACAAAAGATAAAATACAGACCTCCACATTTATATGCATTATTAGACTTTTAGCCCAAACATGTTGGGGGTGGCCTTCCATTTTACTTTTTCATAAGTAAAATAAGATTTTAAGAAGAAATAAAATGTGTAGAAAAGAAACTCCAGTCAAGCAGCTGAGTGGTTTAGCTCGGTCGGAATGAAAGCCAGGCGTCTGGGAACCCCTGCTTTCGGGACACAGAGCAGGACCCTCAGGAGAGCTTAGCCCAGGACAGTGCTCACAGTGTGGCTGTCGCTCAGACCACAGGGTGGCACTGCTGCAGAGCCCTGTGCAGCCGGCAGCAGTGCAGACAGAGGCATGATCACGGGGCTGCTTGTCTGTGCCCAGGAGGTTCACATGGATCGGTGCCAGTTCCTGACTGACCAGGCGGTGGAGGCCGTGCTGGCCTGCTGCCCCCAGATCACGATCCTGCTCTTCCACGGGTGTCCACTGGTCACAGGTGAGCTTGATCCACCCGTCTGTCACACCACGGGAATGCTGGCCTTGACTGTGTGGTGTTCGGATATCAGCACTTTCCATCTAGCTGGCTCAGCTGCTGAACTTCAGTTTTTGCTTTAGATGTCTGGTCCACTGTCATCTCAAAAACAAAAGGATTTCTGTGACAGCACTACAGATTTGTCCTGTTTCGTTGGAGCTAATGAATTCCTGTGTTTGCACCTTTTAACCCAAGGGAGCACACTTTTCTCCGAATAAAAAAAAAACAAACACGAAAAATCACTTAATGGCTTTTTAAAAACTGAAATGAGAACACAGTAGTTAAAAAGGAAGTCATTTGGGTCATCCAAGACGTTCGTTTTAACTGTTCAGCTGTAAGTCTGCTCGGTTCTTCATCCTGTGTTTGTTTTCCAGATCGCTCCAGGGAGGCTCTGCAGGATCTTATTGGGCCAAATAAAATTCGCCAAGTGACGTGGACTGTGTACTGAGCAGTCGCCACCAGGGCCGATGACTCCTGCTGTTGCCTTGAACCCTGTTCCAAGATGCAGCTCTTTTGGTATCACCCCCAGCACTATGAACACTAAGCTCTGGGTCTTAATGCAGCAAAACCTGAAAAGAAGCTGCAGCTGTGGCTATAGTTCATGAAACTTTATACTTCAGAAACGAAGCTTTGTTAACAAAGATTGACCACCAAACTGCACGCCAGAGGAAAAGTAAACAAATAACTTTGGTTAAAAACATTAATTATTTGTATTATATACTGTAGATACACACAGAGAACTTTGTAGTATTATGTACATATGAAAACTTTGTGTGGCAATTTAACATTTTAATAAGTGTTGCTTGTTTTGTTATGTAGATTAGTTAACACATCCGTTCTAAATGTCCAGCTTTACCTTAGTGTTGCCATTTTTCATTTTGTTGTTAAAAGTAGACAAGAGTAAAGAGAAACATCCCACACTAGGGGGCACAAGAGGACACATTGCTAGATGTTAATGCCCTGTATAGGAAAAGAAACCATTTCCTCGCTAGAGCTAGTGATCCACACTGATAGCTAATACCCATTTGTTTACGTACAAAAGACTACTGTTTCATCTGTCCTGTGATCTGTAGTAAAGACCGCTGCAGAATAAATAAAATACAGTACTGGTTTATAACAGCCATATCACCCTGCAACTCACAACTGGCAACCCACTGAAGCTCAGCAGGTGTGAGCCTGGTCAGTACCTGGATAGGAGACCTCCTGGGAAAAACTAAGGTTGCTGCTGGAAGAGGTGTTAGTGGGGCCAGCAGGGGGCGCTCACCCTATGGTCCTCGTGGGTCCTAATGCCCCAGTATAGTGATGGGGACACTATACTGTAAACAGGTGCCGTCCTTCGGATGAGACGTAAAACCGAGGTCCTGACTCTCTGTGGTCATTAAAAATCCCAGGGCATTTCTCGAAAAGAGTAGGGGTGTAACCAAATTTCCCATTGGCCCTTACCAATCATGGCCTCCTAATAATCCCCATCTATGAATTGGCTTCATTACTCTCTGCTCTCCTCCCCACTAATAGCTGATGTGTGGTGAGCGTTCTGGCGCACTATGGCTGCCGTCGCATCATCCAGGTGGATGCTGCATATTGGTGGTGGTGGAGGGGAGACCCCATTACCTGTAAAGCGCTTTGAGTGGAGTGTCCAGAAAAGCGCTATATAAGTGTAAGCAATTATTATTATTATTATTATAACATACATGTTCCTGTAAAATTAAAGTCGTTTGTATCTTTCTGAAATAAATTAAATTGTGCATGGCTGAAAACAAAAAAACAAAAACAACTCTGCTTCCAGTCATCTGTTGTATTTCAGTCAATGTTTGAAGTGTAAAAGGGGACAGCCAGGACTTTCAATCACAGTGGTCAGCTTTGCTCAGCTACAGCAGGCAGACTCAAAGCAACAGGGACCCAGGAAAGAGAACAAACCAGCAGCACCCATGTGCTCAGAGGGTTTACACACTGGTGGCCTGCTGGACTGTGGCACTCCAGCACCAGGGCTGGGCGCCCATGCCCTAGATCATCTGTCACGTGTCTGGCATGGCAGATGTGCACATGGCGGAGTAGAAATTCATCCTTTTTTTTCCCCCTTTCAACTGAAGCTGCTGCGATCTGGGACTAATTTCAGCCACGGCTCCTTTCTCTCTTAGACCATAAAAACACAGCCCGGACCACACGTCTGTAGAGCCCATAGCCTGTAATGGAAGTTGTATGTCGACTAGACCACCCTGCAGCTCACCGCTGGCAGCCCACTGGAGCTCAGCAGGTGTGAGCCTGGTCAGTACCTGGATGGGAGACCTCCTGGGAAAAACTAAGGCTGCTGCTGGAAGAGGTGTTAGTGGGGCCAGCAGGAGGCGCTCACCCTGTGGTCCATGTGGGTCCTAATGCCCCACCATAGTGATGGGGAGACTATACTGTAAAAAGGCGCCATCCTTTGGATGAGAAATAAAACTGAGGTCCTGACTGTGGTCATTAAAAATCCCAGGGCGTTTCTCTAAAAGAGTAGGGGTGTAACCCTGGAGTCCTGGTCTGATTTCCCCCTGGCCTTGACCAATCACGGCCTCCTAATAATCCCCCTCTAAGAATTGGCTTCCTCACTCTGCTCTCCTCCCCACTGAGAGCTGGTGTGTGGGGAGTGTACTGGTTCACTCTGGCTGCCGTCACATCATCCAGGTGGGGCTGCACACTGGTGGTGGTGGAGGGGATCCCCACTACCTGTAAAGAGCTTTAAATGGAGTGTCCAGAAAAGCACTATAGAAGTGTAAGGAATTATTTATTATTTAAATTGCTGTATATTTTCCCAAACAAGTAAGAAGTCAGTATTTGGAAACTCTAGCTGTGGGAAAGGGCTGCTGCAACAGGAGCCCTCCGTGAGCGCAGCACTAGGTCTCGGGCTGGTAGAGCCACACAGTGCTGGCTGTCAGCCCATAGTTCTCCTCCCTGAGAGAGGGAGGAAGCTCGTAGGCGGCCAGCCGGCGCAGCTGTTTCCTGATGCCATGGTTCTGCAGCTGAGCCCTGCCTGGGTCTCCAATCAGCACCTGGGTGCCGCGGGCCCGGACGCACTCCCGCAGCCAGGAGTGAAGACTGCTGGCCAGCTGCTCCTCGTAGAACATGTCTCCCAGGAGGATGAGGTCCCAGCTCTCGGCCTCCGAGCCGATCAGGTCCCTGGTCTCGACGGGGACGGGCTCCAAGCCGTTCAGCTCGCAGTTCAGCTGGATGGCAATGGCGGCCACTGGAAAGGAAGAGTCGATGTAGCACTGTCGGCCCTCAAAACTCCACCACGGCAAACTGAAGAAATACTACCTGCCATCCCACTGCCTCAACATCAGATCTAGGGGGAAAGACAGCCTAATTCAATCTGACAGCCCTCTCTACAGTGTGCCCAGAACCGCAGTGTAGTTTGTGGTGCAGCATAAACGAAATTGCAGAATAAACGAAAGTGCAGTTTACACTTGTGTATCGAAACATGCGGTTTGTATCGTGCGCTTGTCCGGTACTGCGCCTGTGCTGCAGTGTAATTGTTTCTCAGTGACCTCAGTGGACCTGAGCTCTCTGTGCAGTAGTGTAACGGTGTTTCAGTGGAACTCTGCAGTAATGTGTGGTCTGAGTGATAGTGGGCCTGTGAGACAGCGGGTCTGTGCTGCAGTGGGCCTGAGTGACAGCGGGCCTGTGAGACAGCGGGCCTGTGCTGCAGTGGGTCTGTGAGACAGCGGGCCTGAGTGACAGCGGGCCTGTGCTGCAGTGGGTCTGTGAGACAGCGGGCCTGAG